CAGGTACGTTCAACTTAATAATGAAATACTTTCATGTAAAGATTAAAATATCTAAAAATAAGACGTCAGTGAACGTTAATTATATTCACAAAATATTATGGATATTTGAAATTTCTACCAACAATTAAATTTACTTATTTTAAAAATCGTTTCTGAATTTGAACATTTAGGGGAAAATTAAACGTTAAGAGTTTCTTCTGTTCTTATATTTATCCCTTAGATACCCTTCACATATTATTTTTTACAACATATAAACATCATTAAAGTAATAGTATTCACATTGAGAAACTTACTTATTATCTGGTATTTTAAATATGCTTCTGTTAAACACTGTATGAATGTAAATAAGATATATTATTTCCATTTGTATGTGGTAGTTAAGTGGAATACAATTGGTCATTGAGTGTAGACAAACAGGAACTTAGCCTACTGACTATTAAATATGTGACTTTTTTTCCTCTCATTGATTTCTACTGCGGAGTCACTGAGTTTGACTGCTTGTAATTGTGCTGAATAAGGTATTATTTAGTGTTAATCTGGTTCTCTATTCTGGGCAGGGAATCCTGGATCTTATATGACGTGACTAATCTCATTATCGTATCGACGTATTATTAAAGTGTACCTGAGAGAAAGATATTTTAAACCGTCTGTTATACCAATATGTATTTGTTCTGAAAATTTATAAACAATGTCTTATTTCGTAGAAATGAAAGTTTAATCAAACAACAACTTAAATCTGGTGAATGTGTTAATTGAGTCTTTCCCATCTTTGTGATGTGAATTTTTATTATTGTTTCTTTTTATCTAATGTTGACTGTTGAAGTTGTAAGACTAATGCCCACAAACACATTATTGATTATCTACTTGTTTCAGACAATAGCTTTGTTGGAAGTAACCCATGAAAACGTGTAGTTGTATTACAAGATTATAAATTTTACTCAGTTAATTATGTAGTATGAAAATCAGTAATTTTTATTTTACTATTAGAATTATGAATTATTTAACTCGTTTTACACCAAGTTATTTAATTAAAATCTTGTTGTTTCTACTTACCTAGACATTGTATGACAACAGGCTTTGAACAATTCAATGGACACAACAATTGCTGTATGAATAATTATTTTGAAAATTTAGAGAGTGATCAAGTTTTTCAACATAATTTTCATAAATTGACAAGTAAATTTAAAAAAGCTCATGCTCATACGCTCAAACATCATGAGACTTCACCAGAGTTTAAATTAGTGTTTCCTTTCAAAGTAATCAATACTGAATGTAATAAGTTAAATGAAACTTATAAATGTAATCAAGATAATCAAAATCAGGATATTGTCAAACATTTCCCAAACGAACAAAAGAATGACTTTATTTACAATAAAAACGTTAACGCTCTTAAGCACGTAGATTATTCAAAGAGTGATCTAAATTTGGAACAAGAAGAAAAGATTCATTCATTAGGTTTATCCTATTTACCTGATAAAATAAACAATCTAAAATCTGCTAAGACATCAACAGTATCAACTCAAACATATTCAACAGTTGAAGGATGTGAAGATACATTTTGTATCCCATATAGAAAACAAAATTCTAACATGGAAAAGACATATTGCACAAAATGTCTAAATAGTTCAAAGGTAAGCGTTACTATCTGGTACATTTAATTATTAACGGCATATATATTATACTATATCTTGTAAATTAATTCAATGACCTAACTTAGATTATCTAGAAATTACCAAATAAGTCACTGTGAACAGCGGTGAATACAGATTGATATTCGTTATGTTTGCCACTTTCAAGAATTAGATAAAAATGAATGAATATGATTGTTTAAAGAAACATTCAGCTGATAAAATGTGTTGACCAATAATATTACTTCAAAAGGCTTTACTTTTTATTATTATTATTATTACAAATCCTGTCAACAAACTTTAATTCAGAATTGTTTTTATATTTAATAACTAGTCATTCGCTTCCACTATACAAAAACGAATAGATTCGACTTTGTGAATTTATGTTTATATGGACGATTGTCTGAAATGGTATAACATGATTGAGTGATGATTCTACAAGCAAACTGAAAAAATGACACAAAGGTTCTTCCTAAAATGAATTGGCATCAATTAAAACACAAGTAAGACGTAAAATAGGTTTAATTCTATTCAATAAGTAACTTGAGTATAAAGGTAAAAGTTAATATAATAATGAATGTAATGAAGAGTAACTCAAAACATAAGCTATTAGTGAGTACGAATATTAATGGATCATCCACAGAATATTTAAATGAAGACTTGAAAATCATGTTTAACGGCCCTCCAGTAAATTAAAGTGCTTCAAAGATAAAGTTGAACGTACTACTATGGTCTTTAAATACATACTGGTATTAACGATACATTAGATACAAATGACCACCTTTATGGAGTAGACGACTAAAAAATAATAATTTGGTACTTGTTAAGTAGTAGACAATATTTTATTAAAGCAATTAGTCGCTTTTTTAAATCTCGATAGAGCAATGAGAAGATAGAGTTGATCTGAAAAATGTGATGTATTTACGCTATACACTCCGAACAATCTGGGCATACATATACTAGTCAGGACATTTTATGTGAACATTAAATGTCCCCTTCATTACCTTGCTTACTTAGACTTTCATTTAATTGACCTTCATTAGTCTTTATATAAAATGCCCTGACAAGGATGTGTGAACAGATTATTCGAAATGTATAACGTAAATACATCACATTTTTTAGATCAACTCCATCTTCTTATTCCTCTATCGAAATGGTTTATTAAAGAATATCCTAATAATAATCTATCCCAGTTGCGTTTCAAGCTGGGACACAAATAATCGTTTGTGAAACACTTACTTTTAGTTCAAATGTGTTGACATTGCAGTTGACCACATTCTGTTGTGTCTGTTAGTGATTAGCAATACAAATCGGTAATGTAATTCTTCCCATATATGACTCGATAGCTAGATGTAACTCTACTGGACTGATACGAATGTTTAACGAAGTGTATCTCTCATGTGCCTCAAGAGCACCGTTCATCTAGATTTTTTCAAACAATTTAGGGTATATGTTGATCATTATTTGAGGACAATTTTTAAGATATCTCCTTATTCGTCGATTAAATAATTGTTTGCTAACCGTTTTCCTACTTTTTGTTTCGTTTCGGTTTTATCAGTTTAAACGTGAGACTCCACCAACAGAGGAAATAAACACTCATGATGAGTCGATTATTACGAGTGACTTCATCACTAAACAACTGCCGATACTATCATCTACGAAAAACCACATTTACAAACCACTAGCTACATCGACACCCTCTGGTGGAGGGGCGGCTGATGACAACAAAAAAATTGATGAGAATAAATCTAAAATGAAAACTAAACAATTAACAGATGCTTATTACAGTTTTCAGATACCTAGAACAATTACAAGAGATAAATCTTCTGACACCATTATGAACAATACGGATGAAAGTGAATCATTCCTAATTTTAAATTTATTAAAATCAGCAGGTAGAAGTATCTCATTTGAAAATATTGATTATATTAATAATGAAGAATAAGAAATTGTAAAGTTCAGAAGACGAAATATTATTCATGGTCACATTTGTTGATTGTTATACTGATTTGGTTACATAATTCGGTAATTTAAATAAACAGGATTGATGCTAATTAATGTTTTCTTTGCAAAATACTCATTACCAAATGTTTAGAGGAGATTCCATGGGAAGACTTGATTACTGATACATATTGAAAAAATGTCTAAAAAGGTGAGCAGATGAATATTGTGACATATTGTCAAGAGGAATAATGATTGGAGCTAGTGGTGACTAGTATGCACTAAAATGGCCCTAAGAAGGGAAGAATAGCGAATGCTAATCTCCAAATTATCGTTTGTTGCACAACTGTTCACTTTTGTGACATTCGGATCTACGTCCGAAATCGATATCTCATCCACAAATCATTGATTTCATGTATTTTAGAATCCATAACAACACATTAACTTATGTAAAGAAGTCATCCGGTATTTTAATCGATCCAGTCAAGAACTAATTCTTTGCATTGTAGAAGGCCCAACACAAGAAAAACCACGGTTCCATTCGCTTTTAATTATTGAGATAATTTTAATAATAGGATGATGACATTTCGGCATTGCCGAAGGATTTTCGCAGCTCTTTTCAGTTAGTGACGCAGGAAATTTTAACTAGATACCCGTCCTAAAAGAATTAGGACAGGAATCGAGGACAAGCATGTGCTTAGACAATTAAAAAGCTGCTCAGCTTTTGTAAATAATGGTGAATCTTCAGTAATAGCGATAAACACGAGTGTTCCTTCTGTAATCCGATTTTTCGCATGACCTTTGTCATCTCTTGATTGGCTGCTACTACAGTTAGTTAATTAATTTTCTGTATGCCTGAAGGTCATGCCTTCGTTACTATGTGTAATGAGTTGTAATATTCCAAGTAAATTTAGCTGGATATCGAGTTTTTCGCACACTTGCTTTAGCGGTTAATTTTTGAACTGTGTGCCAGGAACAGAACTGTTAATACCATAATCGTTTAATCAATCCTTCATTCACAAGTATTGGAAGCCAACTGGAAGCTTCAATTGACGTAATAGTTTTTATCAGGACCTAACATTATATCAGTGTCAAATCCCGGTAGACAACGAAAATTACATTTATATGTTGCAGTCAGTTCTGGAAGCATGATCAAAAGCTCTGAGAAATAAATGATTTTCACATTTTAAATCATGAACTGATCTTAGAGAACTATTGTAAACCTAGAAGGCCGTTTCATCGTGCTATGCGACTCCCTAGTAGTATATTAAACTGTAAAACGTTTTACACTCACCGCAAATCCACTATACTAAATAACTGTCAATCCAAGAAGAGTATTACATCTAATGCTATCTAAATGTCAGTAGAATAAATGCTTCACAGAAACAAACGAAAAATGCGTCCATGAAATTCTTTGAGGAAAGATATTTTAGGAAATGTTTGAATAAGTTTATTCTTGAAAATAAACATCTGTGAATTATTTAAAAATAGAAACTACATATACCTTATATATGTATACATACAATAATTCTTAAAAAATATCAAACAACTGCCAGCTGGTAGTTATTTGTGAGTTAATTACAAACGATTTCGTATATGTAATAGAGAAAATGAGTGAACACACAGAGCCTCTTAGTTTTAATTACTGTGAATTCGACACAAACCTGAGAAAAGGTAAAGTCAAACTGATAAAAAAAATTGGTTGACACGATCCGTTCTTCTTATACCATTACTATTTATTATCTGCAAACATAATGGGAATATAATACGAAAGTAGTACAAATATTATATGGAAGAAAACGAAATGTTTGGTTGTTAAGAAATCTGAAAAGCTTTAGTGATCACAGCATTAGCAGTAAGGTATACGACTGATATTAGAAAAATTTCATTGAAAACAATGAACATCAGAAAATGAAAGAATACTTTCCATCGTCTTCACAATCATCTTTCTGGGTATTTCATGCTAAGTGATTTTGATGATGGAAAATTCATAGGACTGACTTGATGAACAGTACTGGCAGGTGTCGTTAAATCGTTGAGAAATTTGGCCACTTCGTTTTCCATGGAATGAGGATTTTGTATATAGCGATAGATCATATCTTGTGAGAATCCTCTCTGTTCTAGATAAATAACTAGGCGAGCCAATTGTTGTGCCTAGAGTAAACAAGAAGTATAAAGACATAATTATTTTATGCAGGTACGATGTAGCAATTTAAAAATACTTTTGAAATTAATTGGAGATGAATATCAGTCAGTCAGTCAGTAACAACGTAGAACTTCGTACGTACGTACATCAGTTCGAGTTGCCACACCACACTAGCACAGAGATGCAGTTGTCGATTCAAATCCCGTAGTGGTAGAGGTAATAAGAGTATAAGCAGGAATCGGGAAGATTGGGGTTTGGAGATGTTATTTAAAGAGTATAATCCAGTGAAATAAATTTGGAAAGAGGAAAAAAGGGACATGAAGAATACAGAAGATTAGAATTTGGGAGAACACAGAGAGTGGATGCACCTGCGCCATTGCAAACGATTTTGAGCCATGTCATTCAGGGTCTCTAACCATCGGTTGCTATCATCTCGTGGTCCCCAACCAGGTAGTCTACACCTACCAACATGACTCAGTCCATTTGTCAGTGATTTCGTGGACTTGTGCCATGTTTTGGTTTGGCCGCCCATAGCTTTCTTCCAACCTACTCCTATACCACTGAACATAGCACGTCGAGGTAGTCGGTCGTTGGGCATACGTAACACGTGTCCCAGCCATCTCAACTGATGAAGTTTCACTACTTCATCAATTGATTTGCCATCCTTACCTAGTACCCGTTTCCTAACAACTGTGTTACTTACTCGATGGTCCCATGATATACGAGCAATGTTTCGAAGACACCCATGATCGAATACTAGTAACCTACGAATATCCTCTACTCTTACCGGCCATGTTTCACTGCCATAAAGTAGGACGGGACGAACTGCTGCGCAGTAAACACGTCCTTTGGTTGATAGACGGATAGACGGATCATTACTAGAACAGCTCTCGATCAAACGATGTGAAGTAGGTAAAAATATATGAAACACATACATGACAGAATCTAAGTTTTAAGTAGAAAGCCGTCAGGTTTTAAACCTGCACTTCCGACAAATGTTTTTAAACAAATAGTACGAATAAGAAACAACATATGAGATTATCCTCTAAATAGAAATGACTTATTTTCCAAGTCTGTACAGTCAAAATAAATATGAAGACGGCATGTTAATGGTTAGAAACAACTACTCAGGATCAAGGTTGAAGAACAAACCATCAGCCATAGATGGAGAAATTCGAATACTTTACATCTGTCTGATGTTTGTCCTGATTATATTGTGTAGAAAAACAGTGAACGCTTTACAAATAAACCATTCAGCTTACAGAACGAAGCTCTACCAATATTTTATTCCTCGTAATTTCAAGCTGATAATCATCACTTTCTGTCTTGAAATCAATACATAGAAAACCCTGGATATGTATTTCACACTTATCAGTAAAGCACATCTGTGATCGTGAGGGAAGTGATAATGTCGCAGAAATCCAAACCTTAATGCTGTATTGCAATGAAAGAGGTTACAAGTGAGCCATTGCGGTTGCTTCCTCCAGAGATTCTAGGTAGGAATATGAGTTTGAGATGGTGGAGAAGATTTGTAGCTCAGGTGGATGATTTTGGTGGAGTTTTGTTCTCTGAGCTGGATGGTTTGGTCGTGGAGCTTTCATCGTTCTTCTGAACGACATCATCAGCACAAACTTCAGATAGAAGTGAAGTGTTCGAATTTCTCCATATGTGTTTCACAGCTTGTTCTGTGCACCTCGATGTTGATTGGTTCTTGTTGACCTTAAATTTATCATTGTTTACTTCTTTGTTTTGGTTGTGTCTCCCATTGGTTTGATTTTTGTTCCTATATTTATGCATGATTTTCCTGATTGGTTGATAAATTGGATTGATTTCAATATGTTTGTTGATTGCTGATTGACCTGAGTGCCAAGCTTCTAAAAATTTTCTGGTGTTTTTGGAGTTTCCTCTGTCTAAGATTTCTACATTTTCCCAATCGAATGAATGTCCGTAGTTATCCACGTGTATTGATATAAGTGAAGAGATATCATGGCGTTTGACTGCTAATTGATGTTCATGTAGGCGTAGGTGGAGGGGGCGTCCGCTTTGTCCGATGTAGTGTTTGTCGCAGTTGGTACAATTTATTTTGTAGATGATGTTTGATTTGTTTTCCTTTGTTATTTCATCTTTTGGTTTGCATAGGATTGATTGTAATGATTTTGTTGGTTTGTGTGCCACACCTATCCCGAAGGTTTTCAGCAGTCTCGTTGCGGTTTCTGATATTCCTTGTATGTACGGTAGGGTGATCCTTTTGTTGATTTTTGTGCTTGATTTGGGTTCTGATGCTGTGTGCCGTTGGTGCTTTTTGATGAAGTTGATTGGGTAGCCGTTCTTTTGAAATATGTCCTTCAGGTGTTTCTCTTCATTTTTTCGTGCTGCCAGTGTGCTGCAGTGTGTCCTCGCCCTCTTGAACAATGTGTGTATGCAGTTGATTTTGTGAGCTCTTGGGTTGTTGCTGTTGTAATTGAGGATTTGATCTGTATGGGTCGGTTTCCTATATACTTGAGTCTCCAGTTTTCCTGTATCGGTTCTAGTGATCAATATATCCAAGAATGCTAGTTGGTTGTTTGACTCCTGTTCCATTGTAAACTTGATGTCGTTGAAAACGTTGTTGATCAGTTTGTATGTGTTTTCCAGTTCATCCTTTTTGACGATGACAAAGGTGTTGACTCCTGTTCCATTGTAATGAGGGACAGTTAATCCGAATTATTGAGCAATCAGAAAAAATCACAAATGAGAAATGATGGTTACATCTGTGTAATATCAAGATCGGAACCCATAAGGATAATAAATAGTCGACCGTTACCTTTGGGGCAGCCAAGAAAACCTGAATCATGTAATGACGGAATTCTATATTATATCACTTAACTGCTGTCGAATTTCATTTTACACTGAGTCCTTGAAAAATGTTATGCAATAAAAAAGTTGTTCCATCAATATATCTTTCAAAACTAAGATTTTATCTACTGACTTTATATGATAATTGTTAGTGGATTTAATGGGTATAGTTAAAAATGTCACCATCACGTGCTATTGAAACGGTAAATTTTATGACAAAGATAAATCACACTGTCATCATGAGACGAATCAATTATAGGAGCAAGAATCGATGGTTTACGTTAAATGCGTTCGCCATAAAAGCTGAGGTCTTTTGAACCTATTACAACAAATTAAAATATTCCCGGAAGGACATGTACCAGACTAAAACAATTGTCTAGTTAAAATTAAAATATCTAGCCTTACGATATAAAACTTTTACCTTGAATCACAGGGTAACTTGATTTTATTGAAGTTAAAAAAGACATTTTTATTCACACTTCTCGGTTAATTTGAATCGGAGTGATAGAAAGGTGGGATATAACCTTTTTTCTTTTGTGATAATGCTACTCAAAAAAGCAATCGGGATTAGATTCCAGTTACAAAGTTAAACAAATCTTACTAATTTCGAGAAAGCTGCAAACTAGGAATCCAGACATGAATCCCGTCAAAGAAAAAATAAGTCCCATAAGAAAACAATAAAAACAATGAAACCTATCTATAAAAGCCTATAAGATTCAAGAGCAACTACTATCTTGAGTTATATCTATCATTACAGCTGATGTTTAACACTCTATCCAGTAATATTTTTTATTTCACCAATTACATCACTTCCTACGACAATATTGAGTGAAAATTTGAACCAATTATATACTCTGTGAAAAGTGCTTTGAATATTCTGAAACTGTTACTCGATTCATTTAATATAATGTGCACTAGTAAGATTAAATTGACAAAAATGCTAATATCCCAGATTAAACCTTCTATTCTCTTGGTACTTCCGTAAATTTAGCGAAATGATTCCTTCCACGATATTAGATAATAATATAAGTCTTAATAATGTTACATTTCTGGTCTTATAAACTTGTAATTGACTTTATCGGTGAGGTTAAGTTGATGAAAACGAAAACTCAGACTGCTACAACTAAACAGTAAACAAGCACATTTGCTTTTCTTTTTCACATTCATACAAAACAAAAACGATATAAGTATGAAGGACTTGTGAAGATTGTAGTATTTTCATAGTTGAAAAGTCTAACACTAGGACGAAACAGCCGTTTAGTGCTTTTAGATTTTCAGTGGTGGTCTAGCTCAGATCAACCCGTGATTTCAGCTGAGAAAAAAACGATATAAACTTGAAAAATACCATTTATTGCACTGTCAGATAATGAGCGATTGACATTTACATGGTCGATATGACTTGCAACTTTGTTTTCCTCTCAAAACCACAATTACGATTCAAATAGTTTAACTTGATTTTTATTTTCCTAAACTCCATAACTTTAATAATTTCTTTGTAATGAAACAACTTTCTTGACAACTAAATAGGCGAACTTTCATAAGAATATTTTATGAAAAATCTACAGCACATCAATCTTATTCACTTTAAGATACTAAACATCTGTAGTACTATGTTTGCTCCGTCTGTGTTTTCACTATTCAAAACATATTTGGAAGCTCTTAGATGCCAAAGCTTAAGGTTAAATTTACAGAATCATAACTCATTATAAGAACAATCGTAGTTTGAACAGAACATATCTTGTTGGGGCGACGTTCGGTTCAACTCAACTTATAGTTAAGTTCAATAACCTTGAGATGGCTCTGGAATACAAATTTCTCAACTCTCAGTGTTTCGTTAGAATTGTGCGCACAGATGATATCCGGTCATCTTTAACAATCATCTGGTGAGCAAGATGTTCAAGAAATCGAACACCTTCGATACTTTCAGTAGCATGAAGGGTCGAAAATCGTCCATAGGTAGCTAAGTTCGCACATTTATTGGCCGGACAGTGTGAAACTACATTTTTCTTAATTTAGGAACAAATCAAATGTTATGGAAACGTTTAAACTATATTTTAATTTCGCGTTTCAAACAACTCGCTGGTCTATGATACATTTTAATTTTCCACAATTTATGAACCCAATTATCTTTTGTTAGTTTTAAATAATTCTCACCTTGAATAGATTATTAGGATGTGTAACTGTAATCAAAAGAGCTGATTGTTCACTAAGCTTCTGAGAATTTTGATTAGTTGAGAAAGTTGTCAATAGTGAGTTGAAGGTATGAAGAAGATTTAACAAGATCAATTTGTTCTGCTCAAGATTTTGACATGTAAAGGCTAAAATGAGAAAAGAAACAATGTGTATTTATCCACATTAAGTTGACAAAATAGAACTTCCGAAATGATAAAAAACAAAATTCACAAAATACAATCCTTAACCGTAGTTACTGATATGATGTGGCAACATGGATTGATACATACATGAGATAGGTTTTATAGTACTCAAGACTGATTTACAAGTTTAAATTAGCACCCCATATAGTACAATGTAAAGTGTTTAAGGTAAAAAAAGATGAAATCAATGAAACAACTTTTAAGTAGATTTCTTTGTTCACGTATGACATTTTTCTGATTTCTTTAAAAAGTTAGTAATAAATATATTATTTGTCATATCCCAATGAGTAGAAAAATAGTATTTCTAACGTTTCATGACTAAATGTAAGTCACTTCTTCAGAATAAATAAATAACTGACTTAAATTAACAAGTTTAAATAATACAAAGGAAACAATAGAGAATACTTTTAGTACATTCAAAATTATAAGGGGCCTGGAAATATTAATGTCAATTTATTCTTGGTCAAGGTGAACTTGTATGATCTGTCAGTGTATTAATTTGTGAGTCACGTGGGTACGAAAACTGTTAAGTTTTTTGGTTAAAGATATTAAAAATAAGATGCTCTGGGAAGTTTTGAAGCCTGTTGAAGACTATCATCAGCAGTATAAAATTAATTTGAATTTGTCCAGTTACATTTCAACGGATCGGTATAATTCAGACTTGTTTAATACAAGTTTATCGATATTTTTACTTATAGTGGTTCAGTGAAGCTGTAATTACATACTACTCCCATATAAATATAAAAATTCGACAGACATAATTTAAACACGACGTTATAACCAATTGACAAAAATCTATGGATACAACAATATTCTTATAAGAATTATTATTGAAGCGCTAAAGCAAAACAAACAAACTGAGCCTAAAAGACCCATAAATGAACTAATATGAAAATTCATTGGTTAAATTAGACTCATCCAAACTCTGTAAAATAGAAATACATTAAAATAATTTGGCAAAATAAGCATTATCAGGACCTAAAGACATTATAACTAACTGTAATGTAATGATATTCGAAAGTCGCTAATTGCTTAATGAATTGAGCTCTTCGAGTATAGAAAAGATTTATTTCAGCCGAATGCCTACTAAAATGTTTGAAAGTGACTTTAAAGCGTTCAGTGCTCGTCTGACTCCAGTATGATTAAACGATATCGACGCTAACGGAATGCATATCCTATTTACTACATCTAGATTCTGTTGATAAATCACTTTGACACAACGTAGACAACAAAAGTAGGACGTATATTTTGGAGATGATAATATTGAACGGCAAACATCCACTGAAAGATCCAGCGAACATACAGATTTGGAGCTCAGTAATAGACCGGCCATGCGAATAATAAGGTAGTTTCATTTTTATAAGCACAAAAGAAATTCAAGAAGCAAATAAAATCATAAATACTATGATGAGCACATAAATTTAAAAAATAATCAACATTATATGTCAATGAAGAGCCCAAATATATGTGACATGATAATCGGGATAATTAGAATAAGTTCTCCGTCCAAAATTTAGGACTAACCACTTAAGCATGTAATAATGTACGTGGCTACAGACTTGCCAGATTTGTGTAAGCTTACCTGACTACCATTTCTGCTTGGAAAACAAACTATGCTAAGACAAATCCAAGGTGGTAACTTTTAGAGTTCAACACAAACAACAGGCTGGTTACTTTTATGAAGCATCGTTTTAAAATCTTAGGAATGACGTCTGCCTCCATTTAGGAAGCAATGATTGTGATAGCACTATTTAAAACCAATAAACACTATCTCATTGAACTGAAGTTAGACAAAAAAAACCTGGAACAACAACCCAGTTACTATTGGTGTTACCCATTAAAATGGATTTCGCACTTAACGTATGGAATGATGCAGACGGGCTGTCAAATAATAACAAATTGCTGGTGAGCTAAACAGCACATATCATGAGAATTTACTGAAACGTGACATATGTGCACTGTCAAAGTAAGTCAATACACCACTCATGAAGATTAACTAGTTAAGGGGGAAGTAAATTGATAGTGAAACCCCTACCGACCAAATTACAGCCCTTAGAACAGTACAAAGTAGAAATTCACATCAGAATTACAAATATTAGCGATTAATTCAATTTGAAATGGTCTGGACTATCCGGATGTTTATATTTTCGACTGATATTTGATCAGTCCTGATTGGTATATGGTTGTCCTATGCGGGTTGCCTCGATGTAATCATTATGATACAAGCCGATATAGAATAGATGGAATGTAGCCAGCAGTGAGATCCAGGACGCGCGTCTCGCTCTGTTTGGGACTTATCAGTTAGATGTACCTAGATGACAGAGTTGATGACCATTCCGAGACTCGAACCCAGTACCGTTTGCTTTAAATACCGTTGCGTTATTCACTTGGCTACTGAGTCCAGAGAGCCACTCAGTCTTGCAACGAGTATGCTATTTACCTCAATTTGAAGTGATTTGGATCATCCCATCGAGATACACGTAAACCAGGTCAACGAGTTCTAAATACGATGGAACGCACTTCTTGGATTCCAGTACTAGCCACATTCCATTTATTCTATATCAATATTAGCTATTGTAGTTGAAAAGAGATCTAAGTCAAGTAAACTTTGAAATAATAAACCATTCAACTGACATTATAGAAAAATTTCTATACACTTATTACACTCACTTAAACACCAAAAACAATAATGTTTACAGGATATGAAATGAACCTCATTAATTTTACTTTAGGTGAGTAGATGCTAAATAAAAAAATATCAAATCTTAACACAATAGATAAACATACAAGCTACTATGTTTATGTGGAAAATATGTATATGATAATTATTCAGTGAATTATAATACTTTGGTCACATACACATTAAATCTAGCTAGAGATAAAATAAGATAAATCAAATCAGTTATATATTCTTTTTTTTAAAAAACTGACATCGTGAATTACCTCTTTTCTGTAGTCCTAATTCTAAGAGACGACGAGTATGAGAATGAGAAAAACCACAATTTGTTGCCCACGACAACAAACTTTCTAAAAGCTTTATTTGAGAATGATGTGGATCAGGTGTTCTTATACCAATAGTGGAGATTTTAAACATGTCTTGACATTTTTCAGTATTTATAAGACCGTTTTGTTCAGCGATACTACCGAAGGCTTGAGGTTGATTGGTGAAGGCAATCGACTAAAATTAATCATCGAAAAACAACACTTGTTTATATATATATATATATATATATATATATATATATATATATATATATATATATATCAAAGGAATTGTATATAGTACTTAAAAGTTATTTACAAGAATATATGGGATATTTAATTTCCTTGAAATTACGTGTAAATCGTGACCCAAAAATAAACTATATGTCAATTATATCTCTGTTTTATTAAACTAGTATGTACAGTTGGAGGCGACTGATTAATTATTATAAGATATCATTCCAAAAATATGCTTGATATTCATTCGAAAGAATAAATAAAAATAGAAAAAAAAAACATTTACGTAGTAGACCAATATTATTTAGTCTGGCCTAAAATTATGCTTATTCATAAAATATGTTGGCAACATATTTGCTCACCAATTATCTATGAGGAAAAGCATGAAGTACATATGTATGAACGAAACTGAATGTAGAGAGAAATGAGAGGGTACCGATATTTCATTAGAAATGATTAAGTAGTTAACTAAGTAAAAAATTTTATTGAAATTTTTAGTCGGTCGATGGTTGGAATGTGTGAGGAAGGTTTTTTAGACAAAATAAGTGTATTTCGCTAGGAAACTGAACCAAAGCATGACTCCTGAACAAAAATCTGAAAATGTTTAGTACAAGTCTTGTACTTCTCTTAAGTATTATGTCAGCTACAACGTATATAAGTATACATATATATATAAGTATGTGGCATAAATGGTTAACAGATTAATGAACTAAGAGTAAAGTGGTTGAAAGAATGAACTAATTTACTAGTCTGAGGGAGTTACTACAGTCGTAAAGAGCTGTCAACAAATTTTTTCAACAAACATAAATGACTTGTTCGATATTCGTCAAACCTCATGACATACAAATGCTGAACTTGCAGAAAGGGAATCACTGCGTAAATTACACTGACACTGTGTGTTAACGGGAGCTAAATAAAACTTCTATATCCACAGCAGAAGTTACCTGATTTCCAACTAACCGAGACACATGCAAATGTTCTCAGGCAGCAAAAAAATCGACACCGAAAACTACACTACTTTCTGTTGTTAAACATTCCAAACATTTGGTCGCTATCAAGTTTGCATGTCTGATATCAGCTAAATGGCTAGTAGCAAAATGCCTAAAACAGAAATTTTAGGTTGCCCGGAAGAACGGGAAATGTCTTGGGTCACGCATTCTGAAAATGTTGGTCGAAGTATCTGAAATCAGTCAATGATATAATTAAGTTATATTAACACTGAAAGGCCATTAAAGAATAGATATGGTCATATGGTTATACTTAGGGCTCTAGTAAGGTGATGTAATAGATTTTCTCAGACGGATGCTGCTGGGATATACGATGAACATCAATAAAGATACACGAAAGAAGTAGTTATTTTTCACGTTCACAACTAATGACACAATTATTCAACTATTTTCACCAATTTATCTTTACCTAATGTCGCCTTAATTTCGCTTTATGTATAAATAAAATTTGTTTTACATAATTTGCTATATAGAATAAATGAATGCAACTTATTTACCAAGTACGGGTTTGAGTACTCAGATCTCAAATACTATTGATTTCAAATGTAAGTTGTTATAATCTCTTTCTTACGGTTATGACCCCAGCTATTCCTATTACTTAGTATTCTCGGACACCGATTCACTCGACAAGTCCCCAAATCAGAACACGGTTGAACAGGAAAGAGATTATATTTCAAATAACAAGGTTAGATGGAAGTAAGATGCAAGTAAGAAGCACAATAGAGAAAACGTTAGTATATTTATAGTTTTTACATGAGAAGATTCTAGAGTATTCTCCAACCATCGACCAGTGCTGATTGGTTAAGAATTAGCCAATCAGCGTGCACCAGAGCAATCGTGCATTGAGCATGCTTTAATCCAGTCTATGTCCCGCTAACATAAGTTTTAATTCATTTTTATTGACAGAACCAAATAAGAACGAAGGCTTAAAGCCCTATCATGTTTACTATCTGGTAAATTATTTCTATGTACAACTACAGGATATATGTTAAGATCTAAGTACCACAGTGGTAACTTCCTGATTAGGAGAGAAATCCTAAAGCATGGCTACCCTTGCGACTGTAGGTAAACTCACGAATACCAACGAAAAGATTCTTTCGATCTCTCCCCTAAACAATAAACACTATGTAAAGCCCTACCAAAGCATTTGCAGTTGGTATGAGATATCTGTTTATTTTCACTTTAATCTCGCATAGTGTGCCTAAAACTACAACATGACGAGATTAGTGAAGGAGAATTCATAATGATCTAGATCTATCCCACTAGTGCTTTGGTTATGGGTGTTTACAAATTTACAGCAACCATGAAAAAGATATCTTGTGTTCCTAAAACTCTTCGTTTTAGACTAGATATACCGAAATTTGTGCAGTCAGGTATTATCGTTACAAGTCACACAATATGTACGGTTCACACCTAAATACATTTACATGTGGTTGGTTTTACTTGACAAGTGAAGTTAGATCAATAGAAAAACCATAGGAAAAATGGGATGCTTACCTTTATGCTATATGGAACACAGGAATTTACAAATGGCTTAGACAAATTTGTAAACCTTGTCGGTGCATTACCAAATCCAGATGAATTATGAAGGCCATTTGAGATAGCTACATCTTGTGCACGTGTTTGAACTTGATGATCACTTATATGATTACTTACGAAACAGAAATTGTTTTGAAATGAATTAGCTGTTTCTGGAAATTTGCAAGTTTCGTGTTTGTTTTTTGAACTAGAAAAAGGAGGATAACTCAGTTTTTCTGAATTTACGGAGTGAGTATTCGAAGAGTTGGTGACAGATGAACCTTCACTATGATTATTTATTATATCCTTGGTTGTCGAATGATAAGGTTGTGGTTGACAGGAACTAGAAATGGAGTCATGCATTAAAATTTCCTTAAGTTCCTCAAGTTCATTTATTGTTTTAAGTTCAGTCATCGTGAATGGGTCGTCAGGTTGGATATCAAAATCTTTTAAGTATGTGCAAATTGTGGAACTAGTAGAAGAGCCTGGTTTCATATGAATTAACTCTGAACTAGAACATTCAGGGTTATTATCCGAAACCTTCATCTGTTCTGATTTACATAATTGGCTAGAAGCTCCACTATCTATTATGCTAGGTTCCAAAATTTTCCCGGAAACAAGATGACTAGCAGCAGGTGGAGGTGTTCCGATAACTGAAGCTGGACACGAATTATTTGAAGAACGTGACTGAGGATCAGAAAAATGAAAACTGCGAGGTAATTCAATGCCCTTTTTATTGCTTTCCTGTAATGGATTAGACTGATCTGGTGGAATTCCATACACTGATGTGGAAAGTGTTTCATCCAAATTTTTCTTTGCGTTGAAATACTCATCATAATCAGCAATAACTTGCTTTTCGTGTAAAAAGTCATACTACAAGTAAAATGCAACAAAAACGTTAGGATATATTTAAAAAATCAGGTCAAAAATAACATCAGGTGTTAATCACAAAATAATGCAATTACACAAATCTAGACAAGAAAAGATAGAATTTGAAGAATTATATATTACGACCTACTTGGTTTCACTAGTCTTTAGATAATTAACTGATCTAAAATAACAAATATGAGCGACTTCCTTACATAACATGATTTTAAAAAGAATGATTATCGATAAAAAATATTTGATTGGTCGAGCCGCAGTAAAAGGAAAGAGTTCCACGCTGACTATTCGAAGGTTGGATAAATTAGCTGGCGAGACAGAACCCAAACTCCATCAATTCGAATTTTACCGGATTTCGGTAGACAACAAAAGCTTCCAATACATTGTTACAACAACTGTTCCTTTTAGAATGAGTACTGGTTGCTTGTAGACCATATCAACTTGTTTTTTGATTAGGTTAGGGTTTTATGGTCCCTGTCAACGTAAAATGAACTGAGGAAGTTAGTCCATAATGACCTGAATAGTCCTGATACACATAATTGATGATGAACTAAAAAATTCAAATATATTAAGGCGTTCCGATGAAAAGACAAAAAGCCGCTACAGGCGGTTACTGGAACGCGAGTAAAAACGTAAAAGCATCTACAGTTTGCATTCTTCTGGTTGGAAATAGTTGTCTCTCAATTGCCTAAACAAATATTCCCGGACGATACTGAGTAACTCTAACAGTGAAGCTGGTTGACTCGATCAGTAAAAAAGATAGAACTTGGCTGATTGAAGCGAATAACATAGAATATTAGTTGAAGATCTCACGTAAAAGGTCCAAAATTGACCATCTGGATGGATGCATTCGTGCTATTCGCCTCATAACACCCCATTACATCGTGCTTGTTTTTCGTCATGTCCTCACTAGTATGATGATTTTCCTCTTGGTTTCTTCTTATCGTACAGCTAGATGTTTGCAAGCTGGAGTTAACGTGAAGTTGCTGAACTCCTTTTGATCTGATTAAAAGTCAGCTACTCAATTTTAACCAAATATTCTGCCAACATAAATCTGAAAATCGAGTCGGAAAGTAGCCCCCAAATGCCCTAGTACGGTCGAGAGAGGGGAGAGTCCGCTTACCCTCTCGAAATGCTCTCACATGGCCACGCATATATAGCCTTTGCCACGGAAGTCGTACTCACTGCCTTCTCGTAGCGGGGATGTTGTTTACGAAATTGAGAGGACGAAAAGCAAATATCCGGCGCCTTAACCGAGTTGGTGGATATGGAGAGTTCACCTAGGGAAGTTGGAAAACCCTGATTCAAAACCAATCGTGCACATGGGCTCCAGTATCCTGAGTGAACAAATGGCGTATGAACCAATCGTTGATCACCGGCTACCATGGGACTGCATCTCCTTAGGATGCTACACTGCCTTGTGGATCAGACCTGTAGGTCGAAGGCTCCGGGTTTGGCCCCCTAAGAAAACTACCTGCTTCAGTTTGGGCACCCGGGCAGTATCACAGCCCTCGCACAAATCAAATGAGATTTGTGTGGCGCATATATATTCGGTGCCTTCTTGTACCAATATCTATGTGTCCAAATAAATAATAAATAATAAAAATTTGAAGCAACATCGCTCAAAATCGGCCTGTCAGTCAGCTACAACGTAGGACCAGGCACATATATGCATCGTTCCAAGTTGCCACACCTCATTAGCACAAAAAGATGAACACCAAATTCATAGTAGTTACTTCAATGGCAGTAATGTATAAAAGAAAGATTGCATATGAGGATATAGTACAGGAATAAAAAATTAGTTGGTAAAAAGAAAAATATAGAGCAATTTTAATCTCATAGTTTAAGGGAAGACAGAGTGTATACACCGACGTCATTGTGATCGATTCTGAACCATGTCACCCAGAGTCTCCAACCATTGGTTACGATAGTTACGCGGACCCCAATCAAGTAGTCTTCATCTACCAACATTGCTCAGACCAGAAGTTAGTGACTTTAAGCACTGATGCCAAGGTTTGGTTTGGCTGCCCCTGACTTTCTTTCAACAGTCCCTAACACTAGTCACCATTGCACGCCGCGGTAATCGGTGTCCAGGCACATGTAACACGTGGCCCAACCATCTCAGTCGATGAAGATTCACAACCTTATCAACTGATTTACCATCATTCCCTAATACCCTGCATCTAACTTGGCGATTACTTACGAGATGCTGGTAATATTTATGAGAAATCTGTGATCAAATACAAATAACTTACGAGTATCCCCTACTCTTAATGGCCACGTTTCGGAGTCGTAAAGTAGGACAGAACAAACTGCTACATAGTACACCCATCAATTAGTTGATAGACGCATTCCTTGCCATCGCTATAAGTGGTAGTACAGTTATCTTGAGTGCTGTTAGAGGTATAAGGGCACTCATCACTTCCCGGTTGCCCACACCGTTGAAGTTATTGTAGGGGTACCTGAAAAAGAAATCGGGTTAGGGGTGGTCTTAGTGACCTGAGAGCGTGACCGCAGTGCCCAAGAGACAAGTGCTAGAGGTCGGTCACACACGACCATTATGTAACTTTCGTGTTAGATCCGTACTTGTTGGGACCTTACGGTCGGAGACGGATATCCGTGGGATAAGGCGAGGTGTGCATTCTCAGTGTCGATCTTTTCTAACCCCACCCTTTCTTGTTGGAAGGCAGCATTGATGTTATGCTGGTTGCCTGAAGGAAACACCTTGACGCCGTCATAGCTCTATACAATCAACAGTACGACTCTGTTCTCGAACATTGGGTTTGCTACTTTTAATTTTACCGCTCTTCAATCGATCTGTCTGGCGTGGTAGGACCTTGAGGAACGATTGATCCAGACAGCATGGCTCGATTGGTTCATTACGATAGGCAAGCCCGACCACCACATCAAGGTAGCAGCAACGATCGGGATCGCCATAAGTGACGTAAGATGGCAAAAGCCAAATAAGTTTTTTGAATCCGTGAAGAGATTTCGTCAAGCACCAACTGACTAAGGCTGGTCGGACTTCCAAGTTAAGTGAAGTTGTTGACACGTTCAACTACTTTACTCCCTATCTTTAGTTTAGGTGTTGATGTAGGCCAGTCCTGAATCAATAATTTGTATTTAGAAGGGGAAAAGCGCATTCTAAACACCCTCTCACTGTTGCTGAGTGCTATCAAAAGACACTGCATTTTATCAGCGTTTTCACCATGCAGGACTATGTCATCTGTGCATTCCAAGTCGATAGGTGTACCTCCTGGAAAGAGATCAATTCCTGAAAATCAGCCGAGAACATTATAAATTGACCAGTGGTGTAAAAGCATTTATTCTTGTCACCCAACATATTTAGAGGAATTACCAACAAGTTACAGATGTTTTGCAAAATATTTGTAATCCCATTTGCACGAATATTGCAGGTAATGCCCAGGAAACATGTAACAAAATCATTGTTAACGACTAGTCAGAAATAAAGCAATGTCTAAGATAGATCTTTTCCCTTTTTTAGTCAAATTGGAATTTGGTAAATAAGGAACGAATTGAGCGAAGAAATTTCTTTTCAATTAGTTTTTCGTCATGGCTCTACACTAATATATATATGATTTACAATAATGATATAGTACTCATCGAGTGGATACGTTATATAATAATTACATTATGGCATTTAAATTAACATTGAGTAATTGGAAGAAAGAGAATTATTAATATTCAAAGTAATTATTAAATCAAGAAGTTGCTACGCTGCGTAATATATGAAAAAGAGAAGGAACATAATTTTTAATGGATGGTCAATAGAATAGTAGTTACGTAAGAATCAAGTTATGAATGTTGAGAAGTCATAAAGTTCAAAAGCAACAGAGACAAAATCACAAAAAATTTTTAAAAAAAACAAGCGGAAGAAGTATGAAAAATAGTTCTCATGAAGGAAATCTTATAGTGATGGCCAGGGCAGAGAAAGTGATTGTACGAATCTCTTTTGAATGCAAAGGTCAGGTTTGTGAACATGGATTGCGATGGCTTCCGCAATGCGCATAAGGCGCACTCGTAAACCATGTGACAAATTTGATGGGATACTGTAGATAACCTTAAAAGCTTTATTGGAATTGGAATTTTTCCAAGAAGCGAGTTCCAACAGAAGTATTCGACTATACATAGATATTTGTCTCAATTTGTGGTGAAGTGACGAAATAAACCAGCATACTACGGAACAGACTTATTAGACAAGGACGCTACTGAATTCGAAAGAGATTTAGAATGTGAAAGTTATCGGTAGACTGAAAGACACGTTTTTCGACTGAGTCTTTTGGGATAAGGATACACAAGTCTTAGTGCGTCCATGATTAATTTTGCTTTTAAAATTTTCAAGCCGAATGAATAAAACCGGAAGCTAAATGCAATTGGTGGGACTCCTTAACGTTTTCCAAATAACAATATACATAGAGACTATATAATAAAATAATAACAGCTGAATGGACAGTCGTAAATAAAGCTATAGCTATATAGCTAGCGTTTTCACCATTACGTATCAAAACAGAAGTCATTGAGGAGTGAAGTTTTAAAACGCTCTTCCAGATTGTGTACAAAGTAAGCAAGTGAAACAACAGTCATTTCAAGAGAACGGAAACAAAAGCAATACCTCAAAAGCCGATGACGAAATTTCATTTAAAGTTGGCAGGTTAGTGATGGTGGGAACTTTTACTTTGCACCGAAACTCAACTCCAGAAACCATTCTGAAACTCCAGGTGTCAAAGTTACCTCTACTTTCTTTGTCCATCGACAGAGACCCTCATTGTTCACATCGGAAGCATTCTAGTATCATTGAACCGCTATCCATCAGCTGTGGCGCTTTTACTTAAGGTTAGCATTCAACTCCCAATTGTTGTTAGAAATTTATTTATGATCAGAATTGGCTTAGTGGAGATTGCAGTAATTTTATTAGCTACATTTATGAGTCTATGTAAACTGTATCATCATATTAGTATGAAACGACCGTCCACTGATTCCAGGTTTTCAATGTTGGTCTACCTTACATCGACTCATCCATTCAAGTATTAAAATCGTAGTAGGGTTTTAAAATATTAATAGCAATCTATATCTGGGGTTTGAGAAAAGCCCAAATGGTCGTGGATGGAGTGAAAGAAACCATCGCTTAATTGGCTTCCGTGTCCAGTAGCAATGGATTGCCAATACCTCCAGGTAGGAACCTAGGTATATCAGGGATTAAAGATACGATAGTGTTCATTTTTGCCTAACTTCGAAACGCTTGGAAAATGAAGCGACCACGGCGGCAAAATACTCAACGAATGTATTTTTTCAAATGTTCTACGCTGACGCGGACAATATTATGTCACCAGGAACCAACTATTTGAGTGTGAATCAGTTCCACTCTTCCTTACAACCATATCTTTAAATTTTTACTTTTTCTCTGAATTAATTGGTCAGAAGTTACTCTGAAATCAGTTTTCCCTGTTCTGACGTATCCGAGTTATCCTCACTTAGAGGTAAATAAATACTTGGAACAAATAGTTTCGTAAGTCTTCAGAATTGGTCGTGACCTCGTTAGTTTTTCTGAAGTCGCTTGGTCAAAAATCCTCACAAAATCACATTTGGAGAAGCCGAGCTGACCATCTTTTGAAAGTGGTCGGCTTACACTTTATATAGTTCAACACATCGAGCATTTCCGTGCACGTCGCATCCCCTCATTATTAATTTTTTGTTTAACTGGCTTTGGGATCCTCGTATAAATAGGCGCTTCGGACGACAGTGTTACCGAGCTTTGTATATCCATGACATTAGTTTGTGTGATTTGTCTAGCAAGGTGAATCATCACAATGGTTCATATTTGATAGCGAAACAAGAATTTTACATCCTGTCGAATGAATAATACAATAAATCCATTCCATGTTATTCCTCTTCTAGTATGCTCCTGCATGCGTCTAGTTCTCTCTTAAACGACTCATTCAAACCGGGAATCCATGAGCACGTTCTTGTCCTGTAGTTAATGTATGAGGACAGTGGCTTCATCTGCCTGCTTAGAGGTTATGACATTTGGTTTTCATAGTTCCACCGAGATACATAAGTTGTGTGTATACACTTACTCTGGATGAACTTGTGACATTCCATCTCACTCTCTGTCCCTAGGATGATGGCAAATTTCCCCAAGTTTCTCATTTGCCGTGGTAAACGTAGGGTCTCTTGCTTTATCCAGGAACAGTCGTGTCTTTTCCTCCTCAATACCATTCATGGTATAAATGACTAGGTTACTAACTTTCCCGACCGCTGGGGGTTACTACATGCCTCTTCCACAGATTAATCTGAGGTTGCTTTCACAATCTATGGGTAAGGTTGTAGTGGCATTGGGCCATAACCACACAGTCCTTAAAGCTAAACGCGAGACAAATGGGAAAATATATGTTCAATATTTAACGCGGAGAAAAACCCAACGATGGAGAAAGCGGGAAGAATGAATCGAGCGAATTAATTATTTGGGTAGCATGGCTCAGCCTCTCAGGCATGGTCGCTCTGTATAGCTTACTTTTACTCATATTAAATATATTGTTCTATCTCCAGCCTGAATTTGTTCTCCATCATAAATTGGTAATTGTTACGATACGATGATTCACAGTGGACAATGATGTGACTTCCACGTAAGACAGTTACATCATGAAAGATCTGCAAGTTTAAGATCAGGTCTATTATTAGAGCAGTACTAACAACGAAAGAGACTATAATTCTACAATGGGTGAACGTTTTTTAATCACACTTCCACCCTCCACGCCCTATAGTGAACCAGAGTGTTTGACTGAAAGATCATATTAACAGTGAATTAAATAAAGTGACTGTATGGCCAGTTAACTCTGTTATTTTTAAGTTTTTGCTCGTCCCTGTACGGCATATCAATCTATTTTCAACTTACGGACCCAAATCAACAATAGAACCAAACTCCAATTTCGGTACCAAAGTTTATTCACAATTTACAAATAGTCGACTTAAATGTCGTTCTTCAATTTTGTAGGTTCCCGGAGCGAAAACTCCCAAATACCAAATCAAATACAAACCAAAATGTCCGAAAATAGTGATATAAACAAACAAGTTCAGAAGTTCAGTTAAACAAATACATCCAAGACAACAGTGAAATTAAGGATATTTAATATAAAGGTTTTATTCAGCCAAATGTCTTCAGTACTCCCGTAACACAATTTATATGTGAAAAGTAACTTTTATAGCTAATATCATGACCACGAATCAAAAATAAGGCCAGAACACACATCCAGTTTTATTTGACGGAGTCTATAATATTCTAGGTCGTATGAAGTGGGGGTGCTGTGGTCTACAAAAATATGAAAGCGAAAGGTGTTTCCAAGTTAGTCCAGTTTTTAGACGGTGCACTGAAGCTATCCACTATCGGGTTGCTGAGCCTACTCGACTATGACTGCTGTTTGGTTAAGGAAAACTCACCTACTACTCGTTCAGGACTACGGCACTCTGCGCAGTTCGTGTTAATTTTTGATAGATGATTATTTCTTCGGGGACTTTAAGTAGATTTGAAAACGGCTCTTGCCTAAAGATTTTCTGGGTCCACTTTTTTTTTAATTATTGTACGCTAAGTCATGCTACCGTTTCCAAAATTATTTCGCATATTGGTGAGTTAATGTGACTTACATTATGTTACAAACTAGGTTTTGGATCAAATTCACTTGGCACTGTTTTGCTTGTATCTTCCCATTGTTATTTAGGACTGTAATCGATCAGTCTGTTGTTGGTGTATAATGTGCAGAATGTGCGGATCCCCTCGTTGTAGCCTTAGGTCACAGGCGTTTTAACCAGAGATGAATAGTGTCCAGCAATGAAATCCAGGACGTGCGTTTCGTCCTATCTACCTGCAGGTACATCCAGCTGATGAGTCCCAAGTAGGAAAAAACGCGTGTCCTGGATTCCACTGCTAGCTACTACCCACCTTTGCTTTAAATAGCTTTTGGATCGTTATCACAATTCTCTATCAGCTTCAGAAAGATCACTGACCTTTTTCAGAGATCACTCCTGGTAAGATCTTGGATTCTCTTCTTTAAGCTTTACTCTGCTGACAGGTTGAACAACCACTATATGGTTTTAAATTGTGACGCAATTATTTATTTTAAAGATAGCCACTTTATAGTATTCTAATTATAGTATGAATTAGGAATTCCAGGATTAACGCAATTGAATTAAGAAGACACAGGCACAACGAATGTACTGTATTTAGAATTCGAAATCGAGCATTCAACAAGTACAAAAGAATCATTAGTTAATTCAAACACCACATCCGCCACAGCTTAAATAGAAGTATAAGTGTTTGTAATCGGTTGTACGTCTTCTTGTTAAGTTCATCCTGAGTCTGTCCGACATTGTATAAGATAAAAACTTTGTAGTATCTAGAAAGTGCTCATTAGTATTGGAATTAACAAACGAAATCGGAACAGACTCACCTGGAATTGTATACAACCAGCATGTCGGTTTTGTAATGAAATCATTAATATCTAGAATTCGAACCATAGATTTTTCAACACTATCCCCCCCCCACGAAATAATGTTGGATCTTTATACTCCCAAGTTATGAATAATGTGGCTTCATTTAAAACATATATCTCACATTGTTTAGAGTAAACATTAGAACTGTTTTTGTGATAAGAGTAAACAGCAGTTGATATGAAATCATCCGAAATATAATAAAACTCGAGGTCACTTAGTACTCGTGCTTCGCATTGGACAGGTTTTTCACGAAGATCAAATACATTATGAGGATAGGTAATATATGATATGACATCAGGATTTGATTCTTCTGAAATATTCTCATGAGATTCATCAGGACTGTCGTTGCAGAGCGTAGGATCGTTAGAAAAATCAGCATCTATCCAAACCACATCAGGTTTTCGATCATGATTAGGTTCATTTAACATATTTTCCTCAGAATTGCAAGTAATTTCATTAGAAATATGTGAATCATTAGGAAAAGTCATACTTGGTACAATAGCATGAGAATTCTGATAAATCGGTTGATTAGGAAATGTTGTCTCACAAGAATTCTGGATTTCATTTAACTCTGAACTGCCATATGACTCTGCACTGTCTTTTGAAATCGTTGATAAAGATAAATGATCATCATGAATACTCGACTCAGTAGAATCAGAATTACAAGGCTTAATATTAGTTGCAGTAAGATGAACATTAGCATTACAAACTGACTGAACTTGAAGAGTTTGAGATCAAACGGACTAAAAGCATTTAGCAGCGCTGTCGCAAGACATCTCCTTGACACAGGACACGAAGTTGATATACTGAAGTCCTTCAAGGTGATCGACAAACAATCAAATTCAAACCTTTTGAAATTCGCCGAAGCAATAGCAATCAAACGTTTGAAACCAGATCTTTGTATACAAAAAGAAACAGTAATAAATCTTTCTTTGCCCTGGTAACATTCACCCCACCCCTTTTATTTTTATTACGTCATTCCAACTCTTTCTGAATTTCATAATTACATCATTCATAACTGACCAATTTCAATTCATATCTCTCTTCATTAACATTAATTTATCTTCAGTTACTTCAGTACATAATCGTCTAATGTGTTTTAATTCCATGAGTTCTAATCACTATCTCAATTTTCTGGAACTTTCCCTCCCAAACTCTATATATTCGAAACAAAATTTTATGACCTCACTAACTCTAACGAAATGTTTACTACGTTATGTTACATATATTCATCCTTCATCACCCTCTGTTGTATAAGTATGTCAATATCTATAATAACTTTGAATTTCAAATATTTTAGGTTGTAAGCAGCTGATGAGAACCTAACGAAATAAAA